ACTATTTGATCGATATGTATATTCATGTATATTGTCAGAGCTTCATAACATTTCGGTCGTATCAATTTGTTAGCGTCTTTGCCGGGTAACAACGTTGATTTTTTTTATTTTTGGAAAATTTTAGTTGAATCGTTGGGTTTAGACTTGAAACTTGTTATCATTTACTTATTATATTTATTTGTTATTTTCTATGTTAAAAACTTTAAAAAAGATCTTGTTATGTATTTCTTGTATCTATTATTTTACATATATTTTTGTTTATTTTATTTTTGCATATTTGTGTGTATTGGCGTTCTTTTAGATTTAGGGTTACTCACTTGATAGTCCTAATTCTGGATGCGTAGGACTGCAACTGCATAACTAGTGTCGTTTGAACCTGAAATTAAAAAAAAAATGAAAAAAAAAATCCACAAAACTTAATAAGATATTGGAGAGATGTCAAATTACCAAATGTTGTTAATCTTAACTTGACATGTAGTTGCTATATCTAAAAAAAAGACAATTTAGATATGAATTTTGCATCATATTGATAATGAATGATAAAAAGTATTATGGACAATTGTGGGATTTAAGTGTCTGTGTCTGTAGGGTTCTAGAATGTAGTTGATAACACGCTCAAGCACCGTTATTATAACATCTACAACCTTGATTGAGAGTATCATCTTAATCTTAATTGGAGTGAGAGCCAAAATGTAGGAAATAATTAATTGGTTAGTAACCAACAAAACATCTTAGAAAATTGAAACAATTATTGTCTTAATTTCTCCGAACTCAAGCCTAATTATCCTTCTGAACACATCTCAAATACTCAATTTGGAGAAGAGAAATTTTGGAATATTTTGTGTTACAAATTGGAAATCAATTATAAATTCAAGTTGTAACCATAAGAAACATAAAAAAACAATTAGGGCAATTAGCTAACTCGTTGAGTCATAGATGCCAAAGGGCATTACCTAGCAACACTGAGGTGAATCCTAGGGACCAGGGTGAAGAGTGCTGAAAATTTATTAAACTTATTAGTAGAGGGGATTTAGAAGAGGTGATCATAGAAAAAGCTAGATTAGAAGAGATGAAGGCAAAATGCAGATTTTGCAGTACTTAAATATTTAAACCAAGGGGGCAAAATGGTAAAATTCAGAAAAAATATTTCATACAAGTATCTCTTATACTTGCAGCTTATATCCTGACTTCAATGACTATTC